GACAAATCCAAATGGCACAGCATTTCCCAGCATGAACAAAACTATATTGTATCTGCCTGCTGTGTTGTTGTTATTGTCGCAGTGTGCTTCAAGTCATGCATTTGTTCTAATATGCATCATTCACTTTGCTGGCTCCCCTCCATAGTAACATACAGTGCACCTGCACTGCATAAATAATGCAGTTTGACACCACTTTAGCTGCTATGGCTCAATGGTATGGAATTCTGGGAATTGTAGTTTGTTGTGGCACCAGAGAATCTCTGATAGAGAAGGCTAAATATCTCACAAAACTACAGTTCCCAAAATTTCATAGTATTGACCCATGGCAGTTAAAGTAGTGTCAAACTTCATTATTTCTGCAGTGCAGATGGACACTTAGTGACAGGCAGCTTCCTGCATTCCTAGAGGGGTATCAAAAAGAATGAAACATGATGTGATAAATAATCTCCCTCTCTTATGGTAATTGGTACAATAAACCAACCAGAACATACACAGAGTGCAGGTGTATGTGCTGGCTGTGTGCTCAAAAGTGATATTTTGAAACCATATTTATACCTTAAAACTAGCCCTAGGTGATGGGCTGTCTAGCCAGGTAACAAAGGCTGAATGACTTGTCCTGAGAATCAGCAATAGGATTCCAGACTAGGTGATGGTTTTAACAAAAGCAGTGGTTGGATAGGGATATTCTGAGATGGATGGATGGAGAAGTTTGGCTGGGGACACAACAGGGAGTAGGCACAGAGGACGTTTTCACACGGGGGTCCCTAAAGCCAGCTGGAGCCATTCCGGAACGGCTCCTGCCGCTGATTCTGGAATGGCTCCATCGGTGGCAGGCTAATTCCGTGTGGACAGCCGGAATTACCTTTCCGCCGCTGAAGCCGGAGTTAGCGTTGGTTCGGCTGGAGTGACGCCGGACTTAGGGCTCCGTGCGTTTGAACACACGGAGCGAAAAGCCGGACTGATGCAGGGATGGCACCGGAAGGGGCAGGGTTTGCCGCCGCGCGCGTCTGAACAACCTGGAAATGGAGCCGGAGTGAGGCTGGACGGAGGTAGGATTGCCTCCTCAAAAAGGCCCGTGTGAAAACGTCCAGAGAGATTGGCTTACTGCTTGGGTTCAAAGAGTTCCTTTGTCCCAGTTTTTGAGAGGAAATGCAGATTACTTGGAGAAGGAAGAAGCACATTAGATTTGATGGTTTTGTTTACCTGGATGTACACATGCTTCGGGGAAACAATTCTTTTTCCCCCCTGGGAACTTGTGTTCCTGAAAAGTCATCAATCTTTTAAAAACATGCTGTCTCCAGAAACGAGATATCAAAATATGAGGATCCCAAAATATACCGCGGCATATGTAGGGGTGCTTAACAATTGTGCATGGCTGTGCAATGTCACAATTCAGTAATGAGGAGGTGTCACAGAGCTGTGTTAAGCTCACACAACTCTATTTTCTTGATGTATTATCCCAAACCCTTATGTTTTTATATTCTTAATGGCCTTTTAAGAAAATGGTGAGCTGAGATACTCTTTTGGTCCCAATTTACTCCAGAACAAATAGATCTATTTGTAGGTCAAGAGGCATGGTGTGGACAGGTGGTGGTAGGGAAATTATCTTCCTGGTGCTGTGTAGATGACCTCCCTAACTTTTAAACAGTTTGAAGTTCTTTTTCTGCCCTCTTGACAAAGGCTCTGTCTTTGCTCGTGAACTTTCATTACACATGGGGAAATGTTTACCACTGCCAAGAGTGTTGCTCAAGCAAGGATGTTAAGAGCTGCTGCATGTTTTGCCAAGGTTGTTTATGCCAAGCGTGCAATTGACAAGTGGTTTCCAAAATGGCTGTAATAGATATGTGTAAAGTGCCTTTCACTGTTGGTACTCATTCAGGCCAAAGCAGTTAGTCTGGGATGGAATATGTACAGTTAGATGTTGTAGCAAATGATTCTGGAAAGAGATGAAAGGCTGGTTGACACCAGCTGCCAAAGGAGGAACCTGGCAGGAGATGGCTTCCAAGGAGTGGCAGATGCATCAAATGATTCCCACTAGGTATATGAAAACTGGCCAATTTTCTTTTGTTACATTTCTTAAAATCCAACCAGCATTCTTGTCCCACCCAGATTCCATTATTCCAGCAAAAGTGTTTTTCCCCTCCATTCTTATGTCACACTTTCCCTGATAAACATCTTTTTATACTGTTGTCTTAACTGCACACATTTTCTTGCATGTTTTCTCAACTGACTAAAGCAGGGGTGAGAAGGAGTGGCCTATGGGTCACATGCGGTTTTTGCCAACCACAGATCCCAGCAAGAGACCCCCTTATATGACCCCATTAGACCTCTAACATTTTCAGGAGATGCCTTTCTCTTTCCTCCACCACCTTCTCTGGTTCCTTTGTTGGGAACAAGGGAGAGGGCATTCTTGGTAGCTGCCCACAGACTCTAGAACCCTTTCCTTAGGGAGGCTCTCTCCTTGCTTTCATTCTGTTGTTGTTGTGTGCCTTTAGGTTGTTTTCAACTTGTAATCATTCTAAGGTGAACCTATCACAGGATTCTATTGGAAATATTTGTTCAGAGTGACTTTGCCTTGTTACCTTGGGTCCAGCCCCCCGGTTGCCCATCATATTTAATATCCATCTTATATTAAAAAGGAAGCTGAGTGTGTGTGACCTAGCCATGATTCTGCAGTGGATGTCTGACCTTTGCACACATGGAGAAACTGGTTAGTCAGGGTCTAGAAAGCACTCAACATGATGGGATTCCTCAAGGGCTCGGCATAATCCTTTTTGTGTGCAGAGGGTAATGAGAGGATCATGTCCAGAGGTGATTGCTTGAAACTACCTGGGACAAGGAAGCACTGGTAAATTCCTTTGTCTAATGCAGTGGTCGGCAACCTATGGCCTGCTGGCTGGGTCCGCCCCCCCGAGCCCTTTGGACCGGCCCCCGCCAACCCCCGCTGCTGCCGCTCACATTGCGACCGCCATTTTGTTTTCCAAAATGGTGGCTGTGACTCGTTTGCACATGCGCAGTACTCCTGTGCCTGCATGAACGAGCTGCGGCCGCCATTTTTGAAAACAAATTTTCCAAAATGGCAGCTGCAACTCGTTCGTGCATGCGCAGGAGTACTGCGCATGCACAAATGAGTCATGGCGCTGTTTTGGGAAACAAAATGGCAGCCACGATGAGAGCGGTGGCGGCGCAGTGGCAGCGCATGCAGTGGCGGCGGGGGGTTGGTGTCAGTGTCAGCGTCGTCGGCATCATCAGGAGTCATTGGGGGCCATGTGCGTGCCGCCATTTCCCCCCCCCTCAGCCCACGGAAGACCTGGAGGCCAGTGGACTGGCCCCAGGTAAGAAAAACTTGCCGACCCCTGGTCTAATGCATTTAAAGCAATCACCCAAATACTTGCCTCTGGTCTGAACTATTCTTTCCCCGTTTAGCACAGATTCTAATCCTATCAAGCCTTGGTCTCTGCCCCCAAGACACAATTCTGGGTATATATACAGTTAGTAAAACAGCTATTCCAGTCTTGGTCTAGTTTACAAGCAAGCAGGCACTCTGTTGGTTTGACTAGACCAGGCTCCTCAATACTCTGGCTACCCTCCCCCCCTTTTGCTGCTGTGGCTACTGAGTCTTCCCTGTTCTGGATGCTCATTGGTTAGGACCATGATCCACATTGGCAAGTATCACCATTAGCAAGACCTCAAAACTATTCACCTCTTCCACCTTTGTTTCCCTAGCTCAGTGATGGGGAATCTTTTAGGGGCTGAGTGCCCAAACTACCTCTGGGGGTGGGACTTCTTTCCCTTTGCCCTCCAGGGCCTTCAGCTGCCTCTCCAGAGACAGCTGAAGGCCCAAGGAGGGCAAGTGGGGAAGAAGAGGAACAGGCGCAAACCTCTTCCTCCTCATCCTCCTGCACCATCTCCGGCCTTCAGCTGCCTCTAGAGAGTCCATCCATCTAGAATGTGGCCTTCCTCACTTTCTACATCCCTTCATCTTTCCTAGCATTATTGTTTTTATTCCAATGAGTCGTGCTGTCTCATGATGTGTCCAAAGTACGACAGCCTAAGTTTAATCATCTTGGCTTCCAGGGAGATTTCTGGATTGATCTGCTCTAGAACTCATTTGTTTATCTTTTGGGCTGTCCATGGACTCCTCAGAACTCTTCTCCAGCATCAAAGCTCAGATGAGATGTACATTTGCATATACATAATGAGATGCTTTGGAGATGGGACCCAAGTCTAAACATGGAATTCATTTATGTTTTGTATACACCTCATATACAGAACCTGAAAATAATTTTATACATAATATTTTAAGTAATATTGTTTATGAAACAAAATTTGGGTACACTGAACCATCAGAAACCAAAGGTAGCACTATCTCAGCCACACATTTGGACAATTTTGGAGTATTTTGAATTTTGGAATTTCAGAGAAGGGGTATTCAACCTGTACACATAAAGATATCAACAAAATATATAGAAGTTATTTTAAAATGCAATTAAAGCAATCTATAGAATAAAATATGTATGTTCCTTTATAAAACGGATGTGAAAAACTTGATTTTTAAAATAAAAATCAGGGAGAGAAGTGAAACTAACAAATTCAGCTATTCTCAGGTACATCAATTCCTGGATTAAGCCATTAACATTCCAGGTTAATGGCAACAAGGGATAGAAAAGAAACTTACATTACATGATACTTTTGTTACAAATGCATGCGATTTATAGTTGGTGCAGCAGGACTATTATCAGCATCATTCAGTTTGAAACAAATCAGATCCACAAATTATTCAATTTCCTTTCATCAGAAGGAAATTGTAAGTACCAGCTATATTTTTCCCCATTTTCAAATAAGACAAGACAGTATACTCAACTAAAGATAGGTATATTTTGAACATGTGTATAAACAAACTTGAGCTCAGAGGCGTACAACTGAGACATAAACACATACAGCCAATTTTGAAAAAAAATGATGGAAAGGAAAAGTTTTTACTTGCTCGCAGAAGGAGAGCCAGCATGGTGTAATGGTTTGAGTGCTGGACTATGACTCTGGAGACCAAGGTTCAAATCCTCCCTTGGCCATGGAAATCGACTGATTAATCTTGGTCAAGTCGTACTCACTCCAACTCAAGAGGGAAGCAAAGAGTTTTTACCCAAATTGCCGGAGTCCAGGGAGGATGCCCACAAATTTATCAAGTTTAGGCGAGGAAGGCCACATACTAGATGGATGGACTCTATTTAAGGAGGCCACAAATATGAATTTACAGGAACTAAGTAGAGCAGTGAACTCATCCATAGGGTTACCATGAGTCAAGATTGACTTGAGGGCGGTTAACAACAACAATATGCAAATATTCCAAACTCTGAAAAAGTCCAAAATCGCAAAGACTTCTGCTCTCAAGCATTTTGGATAAGGGAGATTTAACTTGCATTTTAATCTGTATTGGCTTTAATGTTTTGTAAGATGTCATGAGTCCTCATGTTGGGGGAAATGTTAGGGTTAGGTTGCTGGCTGGGGGATACGGTGGTTTGAGCACTGGACTAGGACAACGGGAGACCAGTGTTCAAATTCTGGTTTGGCTATGGAAACCCACTGGAAAGGCAAAGGGAAACCACCTCTGAATAAATCTTGCCAAGAAAACC